TTCCTTTGGCATCAAGTTACAAAAGGACACACGAGGTTGTTGAGTCCTATTGATTAAACTAGGGTCACAATCCCTAGCTGTGAGTTTGCACATGAGCACTTGAGGCTGCAATGACAATCAGTTTATACAACAGTGACAACAAGACATTAATGAAAGAGGGGAGATAAGGTCGGAGGAACACAAAAGAATGGAGAAAAAGATGAACCGAGACAAACATCTTTTGTTTTTCTCATTTGCTTCGTGTATTTGCTATTTAGTTGGCAGCTGTTGTGTCATAGTTATTGTTATGCTTTTTGTACAAAAAGGGAGAGTTATGGTTTCCTTAAACCTCTCTGGGCTGAAGACTGAGGAAAGTGATAGGACTGAAGAGCTGTAATTTCACATTTAACAGAAATTATCATTTGTAGAATAACTCATATTTGTAGACAGCACAGATAAGACTCTCAATAGACTTTTGTTTTTAATGTAGAAAGGAAACTATTAGAGGGCTGTGGAGTCTGATAGCTGTTTTTTCTTCCTGCCCCTCCTCCTTCATGAGGAAATGGTTTCCAAGACTGACACTCATCTGATTTGAGTCACATTGTTTGTCACAGGCATCAAGTGATAGGAATAAGAATTCATATAAAAAGCCATTAGTTTTCTATTACTGCCAAGCTAAATGGACAGGCACTCAGTGCTCAGCCGAATCACTGTGTTTAAAGTGTCAGGTTGGTTGAAAGAAGTCTACCTCTGTGGGGGCTCCCCTGCCACTTCCCTGGGGGCTGAGAGGCTGAAATGACCATAAAACTCTGCTGAGCTAGACAGCCTGTAATTTCAGCAGCGAGTGGCGCTTTGCCGAGGTATAATGGAAAGCCAGTGGAAGCCATGAAATTTGCTGCATCCTGGTGTTGGAACACCATTGTCTGAACACTCAGGACACCTCTCTAAACTTTAAATTACTGTTTTTAAACCATCATTGTCTGAAAGAGCTCTGCATCTAAAAAGAAACACAGTGCTTGTTCAGTTTCTTTAATCTTCTGTGGTCTGTGCCTTTCCTACAGAAATCTGACGTTCACATTCTTTGTTAGCACAGAAGTAAAAGACCCTTTGCCCATAAGAAATAGAAAATGTGGTTCTAAAGGTTGCTTTGTATAGGCACAATAGAGCTGTTCTCGCTCTCTCTGTCTGTTGTATCTTTTTTTGTCATCTGAGGCATGATTGTGGGTACAAGGGCCTTCTTTCACTCAGAACAGGAATGGATGAGAGAGGGCTTTGAGTGAGGAGAACAGGTGTGCAGAGGGATAGGTTTGTAGTTATGTGTGTGTGTGTGTGTGTGTGTGTGTGTGCTTTTTGTGTGAATTAACATTATGTAGTGTGTATCGCTACTTCAGTATGTGTGCATATCAGCCTTTGCAGCCATGGTAGAGCAACTATGTGTCCTGTTTTCTGAAGCATGGCTTTAGATGTGATGTTAGCGGCATGTCACATTGGGAGGCTCTCTGGGTGATTTGATATGAGGGCGGATGGAGAAGGAGTTGGAGTAATGATGTGAGTCTGAGTGGGGTTTGCTCCAGGAGGCCCAAGCCCATCACACCACATTGGCTGCATCTCTGCTGTGGTGAAAGACACAGAGAGAGAGACAGGGAGACAGAGAGATTATAACCTCATCACCCCATATTCCCCCTCAGCCAAATCTGCTTGTCTCTCCTTATTCACAGAGTTGAGATGCAGCACAACAGTAAGCACAATGGTCTTGAGCTCATTGCAACAACAGGAGGAGTTTCCTGAATGGCAATGTCCAAGGGCGTCAAGATATCCTCATTGCCAAGATATATGAGCTGGGGGTGTGGGGGGACCTCCCTCAGGAAATTTAGATCTTTAAACACTTAATTTCCTGCATTCTGGTGAAAGTTTCTGCACCAATTTATGGTGGAAATGTTTTTATCTATGTAAAAGCAAACACAAAATTCAGGTAGCAAGTGACATTTCAAAATATATAAATATAATAGAATCTAAGTCAGTGCAGCTGTCAAGCATTCCGTGTTGCTTTCTGATCTGTTTCTCCTGTAGATCAACTTTTCTCATGTAATATCATCCCTGCTGAGGCAACACATATGTAGGCATGATTCAGTCTTCCCTCCTCTTTTGTCATGTTCAGAGGAAGAGAATGGAAAAACATTTGTTTCTTCTATATTTTAATTGCACTGCGTGTTTTCTTAATGTGCAAATAAATCTTACTAAAAGCATTTTCATTTGTTATTTAACTGCAAGCTATATGCAAGTTTTTTAACCAAATTTTGCCTTAAAAAAGTGATGGGGACAAAATTAGCCATTTCAAAAAGTGGTGGGGACATGTCCCCAGCATCCCTAGTATAAATGACACCTTTGGCAATGTCCCTCCTGCCAAAAGTAATAGATTGAGTGTCTGCTGATAAACATGCAGGTAGAAGCTCAGTGTCATTACAATGCATCTCATCTTATCCAATTACTTTAGAACCTTATGAAAAGGGCGCAAAATAATGAATAAGTGATCAAGTAGCACCACTGTAGCACGTATAATAAGTGATACGCCTGCAATGCATATTTAAAGACAAGACAGTATGTTAATTTCTGTGACATTAAAATTCCACCTGTTTAGGCTACTGTGGCATGCAGTGGTGTGCATCATCAGCACATTCTTGTTTTTTAAAATGAATCTTCTGATTATTGCATGAATGCAATGCTGTAGATACATCTGTCATAGTTTCTCACTAACTACAGTATAATTCACATGACCAGATAAATAGACAATAAGTCGTAAGAAATCCTTTACAGTTTTGCTATTTAATCATGTGTGAATGTGAAAATACATGCAAATACATAATTTACATATTTTGTCCAGTAGTTGTTGTAATTCTATGAGGAAAATCTGTATTTAAAGGTGCTATATATGGACACCATCATGAGGTAAAGACTTTACACATTTTCATTGTGTGAACAACATTTTGGGTGAAGGCTCTTACATTTCTTATTGGAATGAAGTCAGCAAAGAGGATACTGTTTCTGTGGCACAAATGAAGGTACATTTTTAACACATGAGTCTGCACAGCAAAAAAATTTGCAAAACATGAGCTGAGAGCACAACACATGCACAAGCTGTTATGTGTCTTGTGTGGACAGCTGTATTGGTTAAAAGCATAAAAGCGTTATGGAAGTGTGCCTGTCAGACGAATGAAAAAACAGGTTAAAACATCTACTTCAGGGTAGATAGGTTTGTCAGGATAGCAAGAACTAAAATTCTGTGAAAATGAAAAAACGTTTCAGTCGGAGAAATCCTCCGACTGAAACTTTGGCACAAGGGGGAAAAAAGTGGCTGACAAAAATGCTGTCTCAAAGGAATAGTTAAACATTTGGGGAAATACATTTATTGGCTTTGTAGCCTTGAGTTAGACGAGAAAATCAATCAATATTTATATTTATGTCTGACCGTTAAATATGAAAATACACCCAGGAGATAGTTATCTTAACCTAGCATAAAGACAGGAAATGGGAGTAAACAGCTAGCCTGACTCCGACCAAAGGTTAACAAACAAAATCTGCAAAACCAGCACCGCATCAAGCTGCACATTTCAGATCGACCTGGAGTGCAAGTCAGACACAGAAATGGCATAGAGATAAATTTCCAAAATATAACATCCTGTGTAGACTCCCCATCTTATATATCAACAATAAACACAATTGAAAAAGACAAAAAAGAAACCATTTAACTACATAGTATATCTACCCATGGTAGAAGCACAAAAATCAAGGAAAAATGAACAAATCAATAAAATCAGAGCAAGTCAGCGAACGCTCCCAGTGGGGTATGAAACCGTGCAGTGGACGGAACAAAGATGCAACCTTATAGAGCTGTGCTTAGTGGAGTCCAGGCATAAAATGTTGAACAATGTATGGAACAAACAGTATCAGTTCGAGATAAAGGCTTGCACTCTGGCTGGCATCCGGATGGTGATTCATTTCTTTATGGTAATTAAAATGTGTCACAATTAATCTGAGAATGATGTATTGCTATTAACAACCCCCATAACACCCTTAAAAAACACTGTAACAAATGACTGTATAACAGACTGAGAAAAGAAGAGAAGGCTATCAGAGCAGTTGTCATAAATGAGTCTAGTCAGCTATTGTTTATCAGCTACTAAGTTGCTCAAACACTGGCAAGCAACTAGATACCAGCCAGAAAAATGCATTCAGTGAACTGCCCTTACTAAACCTTTTTCTGTGTTTATGTTGGATGTGTGTGCGTGTTTGTGTGTGCATGCTTGTTTGTGTTCACTAAGGACAAGGTGGCCTGAGGTACATTACAGTACCTTTGAACTTAAGACTGCAAAAAGTGGTCAGACCAGGTCAGAATGAATGAGTCATGGCACAGAGAGAGACAGAGACAGAGAGAAAGAGAGAGAAGTGTGCACTGGATTGTGATTCACTTAGTGGGCAGCTGTGATGTGAACAGTACAGACAGAGCAACTTTGCACACGTTACTCCCAATAAACCTACTTAAGTGGATTAGCAATGCCACCCTGGGGGCCTCCACAGACTTAAAGCCCTTATCACAAACACACGCCGAAACAAAACATACTATTTTCATCAGTTCCCTTGGTTTGCAGGGAAAGTGAGTTTGGGAGTCAGTCGAGATGTCCAGGATAAGCATGGAAGGAACAGCCAAAAGAGGCATTTGATCTATCTTTCTCATCTTTGCACAAATGTTGCATGCTGTGAAGATAGTGAATATTTTGTTTGTATTGAGGTATGAGCGAGACCTGGTTACTATTCAGGGCACCTGTTTGTTGCAGCCCAGAACCAGATGTTGCATAATACTTTCCCAGTTTAAAGCTGGTCACAATTGGCAGCTGCTGTAGAGTAAAAATTGTGCCAGAAATGGGGCCCTGTGCTTTGAATTTGCGTATGTGTGTTCATCTGTGATGCTTGCCACTGAGCCCCTGCCTCTCTTTTTCTGTCTGTGCTTCATGTTTGTTGTACAGGTCAAGGCTGGCTGATTACAAGGTGAACTGCTGGGTGACTCCGCACGCAGTGAGCACCTGTCCCAACCAAGACAATCACCAAGCCTGCTTGGCCTCCTACGCAAGGCTCATCGGTCAGTACAACCAGGGCTTTAGGTGACCCTGTGATGAAGTGAGACTATGTTTGTGTGAAATGCACATTTACCTCCAAATCCCAAAGTTTCACTAATTACAGACACATGGTGAGATAAAGGGTGATGGTTATAGACTGTTTGACGGCAATCTACTCTAGCTTCACTTTTATCATGAGGAGCAGGCAGAGGAGCGAGACTCTCCATTTGTTCCCCCCTGGCCTGATATCTCCCCAGCACACTGGACATCATTCCCTACTAGAAGTAATTAGGGAGCAGAGGCACAGAGAGAGCGTTTACTTAATTAAAACTCTTGATGACCATCTGTTTGCTTATAGTAAATGTTGCTCAAACAACGTGCAGGGACTAATATGTGCATATTTTTCAATCCCAGCCAACGTTTGATAACAGCACCTTGGTGGTGATGCTGTAACGGCATCACTGAGCTCACAAAGAGTTTCAAATGCAAACTTAAATGAAATAACTGCTGAAGTGTCCATATTTCAGTATCAGTCACTGCTTCCCCACCATGTGTCATAAATTTGTGCAGTATAAAGTGATAATATGCCACGGTGCTTCCTGGATTTCTCTGGGAAATGCTACACAAAGTGCATCCAACACCCATGACTCCAGCTTTGAGCATTGACACAGAGAGACATTTGAAAATTAAAATGTTTTGGTACAGCAGTGCTATATTCAAACAGCACACGCACTTCCTAAAGCACCTACTTTGCAAAAATGTTCATAACATAATGGCCTCTTTACATCTAAAATAAAGCATTACAGAATGCTTCACCTTCCCATAAACAGTGCAAACCCATTCCTATGACTAACACCTTGTTGTCCATTTTATATACTATTTGCAATAAATGTAGTCCATTATTGTCCATTAGTGACCCTTAACCGTTTGTCCTATTTTGTGTATGTGTGTCTTCATGTCTGTTTGCATGTGGATGCAAACTTTTAGGGACAGAAATTACTCCCAACTATGTCGACAGCAGCTTCTCCAACTGGACCATCTCCCCGTGGTGCACCTGTAAGGGCAGTGGAAACCAAGAAGAGGAATGTATAAACTTCCTGCGGTACTTCTCCGATAATACATGCCTAAGTGAGCCATCCCGATGCACGGATACTCTGCATGCATCTGAAATGTGTTTTGTAACTGATAGGGGTTCAACAGCCATGCAATACTGATGACAGCAAAGGGTGTGATGCGGTAGTTACTCTTGCTGCCGCGTAAGAGTAGTGTTAACCATGAACTTCTAGTCTAAGGCAACTTTAATGGTTTCATTTCAGATTCTGTTTTTCAGTGTCATAGAGCTCTTCAGTGAGATAACTGGATGTGATGTTGAGGAGTGGATGGTGGTGGGGGAACTGAATGTGGAAATAATGGGGGTGGATCTAAATACTCTTACAGACATCATGGTATTAAAATGTCCCAAATTTTTTTAAAATTTTATTTAAATTAAACAGAACATATTATTTGATTATTACAAAAGAGGAATTAAAGCCGGAAGAATTAAGTGAAAATATTTATGGTTTCATGAATGGAAGGATGGAACTTATTGAAGTCCTAATGTAACCCATGAAATAATGGTCACGCTTCATACAGATGTCTTTTGAAGCTTTATTTTATCTCTCTCTGTCTTTTGCCAGCAGAAACATTGAAACCTACATGAAAATAAATTACATTAAAAGTTATTAAAAATATACATCTCTCATTTTAAAGTCTCTCAAGCTACAGTGTCTGTTGATAAACAGGCCCAAACATGTTAGCACTGCCAAAATGTGACAAAATAAAAAAAATACTGAAAAAGTTGTCAATTTAAATCAACAAAACTTTATACACGGAAAGTAAAACAAAAGTAAAACAAATAAATAAATACATACAGTAACCATGTGCGCCTTTTGAACCAAGTGCAGAATTAAGTTATTTTGGGGTCTCGGCATCCATATTGGATGCCACTGTTATGCTCTTGACTAAACTCTGGCCATGTGACCTATTATTACACTCCATGTTGAAATAAAGTGCACCACATTTTTAACCAAACTTTTATCATATACAATGGCTGTATGAACTCACAAGAATTTGTGACAGAAACATATAAAATAAACATCTCAATGAAACATGTCCCTGAGACAGTTAACACCTAATGAAAATTTGCCTGCTACATAGTTTGATACAACTTATCAATTGGCATCCCTTTGCCGACTGATTGAGTTGGAATGAAATGTTCTTAGTTTCTCAGAAACTAGTAATTTCTTATCACTTCTCATCCTTCCTTTGGGCAAGATATGCCCAGACTTTAATACAAAAGAAACTATTTGCATGTCATTTTCATATTCAATCTGAGAGAGTTAAAGGGCTTATCCCTTGCGGGAGGAAAATGTCATGAAAAGGAACAGATCTAGCACTAATGAAATAATGTCAGAAATGAAAATACATATCATGTGTACATTAATGCATAACTCAGGGTGCAGCATGACACAGTGGTTACCTCAAACATCCTTACTGTATGTTTTTTTCACTGAGAAGTAAAATACAGCAAGCGTCTTCCTTGCTATGGCAAGTGAGCAGTGTCATCAGCGCTACAAGACACCATTGCCTTTAACATGTTCCATTGTGTGGATAATGCTTTCAGACCATTTCAATAGATTGCTGGGGTACCGTTTTAGCTGACTGTGCAGGATGAGGGATGAGGCTGGGAGCTGAGGAGGCGTCTTGAAAAATAACACAAAATGCAGCATCTCCTCTCTGCAGTCAAGGGGAACAGGCGATAAACTTCCACACACCAGAGAGGAGAATATACACAAAACACACTCACAAAACAGTACTATAAATACATACATACATATACTGTATGTATATTGTTACACTGATCGACCAACCAAAGCACATTCAAATTGAAAACCATGCGTTAAACAAATCATTCATTATCCACACTCTCTTCTCCACTCTCTCCATTTGCAAGATCAAGCAAATGGAAAGTCCAACAGAGGAACTTTCAATATTTAGTCAAAAATGTGTGGAGGCCAACCAAAACATCCCAGCTGAAAGGATTTTATAATTATAGTCCAAACATAGTCTGAACCCGGATTTTCCTCCCCTCTCTGTCTCTGTTACGCTTGTTCTCTCCTCCCTTGTCTCTTACTCCATCTGTCCCTGCAGGTAGGGCAATGCATGTTATCCCCAGAGGTTAAAGGAAAACTTATCAGAGTCATTAAAAAATTGAATTGCTATTGGCAATGAGCTTAATCACTCAGTTGAACATTTGGGTGCAGTAAAACATCCTGTGTAGCGGCCCTCCAGCCAACTAGTTTGATTTATGACTTTATTCCCCCCATCTTACAGCATCTGTAGGGGGATAGCTAGCTACGCTGACCCTGACAAACAGATGCGTAACATCACATGTCTCAGCAGTACTTCACTAGCGCCTCACTGTTAGCATCAAAGTTGTTAGGCTTCACTGGTGAGCTCTGTTCCTCTCTGTGCTCTTATTTTCTGGCAGCAGCAGCCTAAATCACAGTTGAACAGAATGAGAAACATGAAGGCTGCTTTTGTATGTGTTAAGTGTGCAGGGGTGTGCGTGTGTGTGTGTGTGTGTGTGTGTGTGTGTGTGTGTGTGTGTGTGTGTGTGTGTGTGTGTGTGTGTGTGTGTGTGTGTGTGTGTGCCTTTGTATGTGCTGTACAGTATGTATACTTGCATGTGTGCGTGTTCAACCCTGTGTGGGAGAGAGGATGTGACAGACAAATCTATGTGGCCATGCATCAGGAGTACTAAGGACTGTGTGTGCGTGTGTCCATCCGATTATGAGTGTGTGTTCCATAGCTATCCTGTTTGTCCTTTGTGTGGCGGTGGGGAAATGCCATATCTTTTTTATTTGGGAATGTTTTGAATTTGATCAGTCACATAAATCTATTCAAAGTCATCTCTGCATGCTGACCTTATAATGGAGGTGGTTGCCAAGCAATTACATGCCTTGCCTTCTCTCTGGCTGAACAAAGAGAAACAAGCCTCGTGTTTTAAACGGATGAGCAGTGAAAAGGTACTCAGCCTCTATTTTACCATATCTAGCTGAAAAGCTGACTGAACAGGGATTTATCACATTTTTGCAGAGACTCACACATGCACTTAGACAGAAAATTACACACATGCATACAGTACATCTGCAGGTGGATACACAAGCACTCATATGCATTCATAGACTGCTCTCCTCTGTTTGAGTTGATTGATTTTCTGCTTTAAAAAAATTACGTTTCTGTGTGTACAACTGCTGGCAAACAAATTGGGGTTCATCATCTCAAGTGCGGACATTATGCCACTATTTGGTCAGCTTGTTGCAAATTTGAGAACGGCTGTTGCAACATAGAAGGGTTTTTGTAATGAGCTGAGAACATGAAACAAAGTTGTTTGTATTTGATAAATGTTTCCATTGTGTCTGCAGAATACCTTATAGAAGGATAATTACTAGCGAAATTGACAGTATACACTTATTAGGAATTCAAAAATAAGGCACAGCTTAAAATATTAAACATAATGCATTATTGATTTCACAGACAATCCTGTGAATGCTGTTTTTGATTAATTTGGCGCGCAACTCTCAAGCCTACTGACGAATCAAAAAGACTGGCTCTCCGTACTCTCTTTACTCCATCCTTCCTCAATCCCACTCCGCCCTCCCTTGTTCCCTCGGTTGCCAAAGATTGGGCAGGGGACCAAGAAGTTGACTTAGAGCTGTCTGTCTGCTAGCTGTCTTCTTGCTGGGACGGCAGTCAAAAACAAATGACTTTATATCTCTGTCCCTGCAGGAAATGCCATTAAGGCTTTTGGTTATGGGATAGACAACATGCAGAACAAAAATGTGTCTGTCCCAGGGCCATCAGCGACGACGAAGACGGGGTCAGACTGGTCAACAGGCACTTCAGAAGCTCCCTTTGTCACCATCCCAAAGGTAATAGGTTTGCATTGATTGTTTCATTGCTTGAGATATTGCAAATGTCACATTAATATGAAAAATGCAATGCAGAGTCATTATTTACTGCCATCTGTCAGTCAGATAGGCTTTTTAAATCAAGAGTATTAATCCTGGAGTCATATCATATCGTTATATAGGTCAGGTCATTGTGTGGAAATCAAACAGCAATGGTGGGGTTCTTTTAACATACCCATACATTTTAAGCAGTTTCCAGCAACTTCTTTGCATACATTTGTTCAAATGGACCTATTACAAGAGTAACCACAAAAACACTCCTCCACTCTGCTTTCATGAAAGAAGGATTTTGTACAGAGGCAAAATCATAAAGCTCAACACGCTGCACCATTCACAGTCACATCACATTCAATCTCTATGCTTGTTATAGCAATTGGCACATCAGAACAGACGCTTTATGATAAGACAGTTTATGCTACACCCAAGATGATGACATTTGGTTGAAATATTATATTTCTCTCTCAGACAATGAAATAGTGAAAGAAATGGGAGGTGGGGGTTTTAATCTGGATTAGAGGTTCTAAAATACTGGCCCAGGGCCTGTTCTATGCTGAATGCCGTCTCCTCTGAAGACTGCAGTCATCTTGGCTATAACTGGGTTCACCGTCTGGAGCAGAAAAACATCACTCTTTGCTGTGCTGCATGTGTGTTTGTCTTTTAATAGAACTGTACTTCATTTTCTCTTCAAATAAAATGTGAAAATGGCAGAACCATATTGTCTGCCAAAGACTCTCTCTCTTTCTCTGTCTCTCTTGAACAGAACAGGTATATTTCACTGTACTTTGGGCCAGGGAGAGGTTTTCCTTCCTTCTTTTCTTTTTTTATCTAGCTGTTGGGTTTGATTAGTTTTCACAATGAAATATTGTTGTTTTACAGATGTATTTTAGATGTGCCATGCCGCCTTCTGGTGTAAGACTAATGATGCTTTTCACCTTTGCAGGAGACCTAGTTACCACGCTTGGCTTGTATTAGACACTGTTGTATAAAACTGTACTATGTAAAACCTTCTGCCGCAGCTGCTGCTGCTGCTGTTGATGTTACTCTTAATGTAATTTTTCAGTGACTCTTACAGATATACACAAAATCCAAGCAGTGTTCAGTATTTATGAATGCAAATGTGCATGCTGAATGAATGGCTCCCATTAAGACATCTATTTTGAGTAATTCCAGGGGCTTTCACAGCCATTAAATGGTCACACTGCACCCGAGTCATGCGGTATTGTCCTTTACGCAGAAACCCTCATTGTTGTGAAGACAGCAAATTAAAACCTTAAAAATGCTGCAAAGAGAAGAATAAATGAACAAGCACCGCTGATAACAACAACAGTGTGTATGTTTGGGAAAGGTGTTAGAGAGAGAGAGAGAGGGAATGGATGGTGGAATTGCTTTCTCCAAAGGTTCTGTGTGTGTGTGTCAGTATTGATGCACCGCTCTGTGCCTGTCTCACTGCAGCGTGGTGTTTAATTTATTGTAAAAATGGTAATTAGGAAACAATAAGACGTGTGATTACTCAAGCAGGAAGTTTATAATTAGAGAGGGAGCTGGTAGGGACATTTTGGGCGGCCCTGTGTTCTCAGACAACTATGCCTGGCAATTAAAACTTGTCAAACTTCCCTGGCAGATAAATTGGGGGAGTGTTGTTATGGTATGAGTCCTCTTGGCAGAAGACTGAGTGTCCAAGGCTGTAAATCTCATGGCGGCCAGCGTGGGTCCAGTAGTAGCAAGCACACACATGCATGCACACATGTGTACAAATAGCCTGGGTAACAGAATATATTAGGTTTGTGATAGATGGATGAATGACAAATGACCATGACACCAAAGGATGACCTATTATAAGAAGCACAGTCACAGAAGAGTGAGTAAAGGAGAATATGCAGTCTGTTACTAATCCTGTTCATGTCAGTCATACGGCTCTCTTATAGTTTATAGAGTATTTTCAGCTTATTTAGATGCATAATTATTCAAAATGTCACTCCCAGTGGTTTCGGGCTTTATCCCATGCTCAGTGAGTAAACATGTGGGCTGAAACTTGGTGCTTTGAGCCTTGTATGTCAGACGGCTAGCCATCACAAGTCCTGATTTATTTATATGAAGAAAAACAATAGTTTTTCCATATATTAACATGGTTCTGTAGAGTTTGATGAAGGAAATTGTAAACTCCCAGTGATGTCTTTATTCCCAGGGTCAGTGTGGGTCTCACAGATAAGATGGATTTTGTTTGTCGTATAATTGTAATCCTGATTTAAATTGTCCTCTCTTAATATATTCTTGAATAAATAATTGTTCAAGTTGAACTGTTCATTTGTACTGCATTTTGAGTTTACTTTTCAATGAAATATTAAAACAGCTTCTGTATGTGAACCCCCAAAACCTCATAACCACTGGGAAGCTTGTGTTGTCTGTGTTCCCATGTAACACTGTCATGTGTTGATTTTCAGCTCAGTTGAATAGAATTGATTGTGGGCAAAAACTACGTAACTCAGGGTTACTCAATAACTAACCTTGCGAAATGCAGCCCCATTGCACTGTAAATTTGATCAATGATAAAAACACTGTCAACATGTGTAGTTGCCTGTTCAATGACAAGTTTGATACATTCTCATAAACAGTTTAAATAAATACTTGTTTTCTATCCTGTGCATGTGTCAAAGCATGAGTAAATGAGTGCGTGTTTTGACATTGTCTGTATTCTGTCACGGTGCATGCATGTGTATGTGTTAATGTGTGTGTGTACCTTTTCAGAAGCATTTGTGTGGATATTGGCTGCAGCCAGAGATCTGGACTCTTGTCAACAGGCTGCTGCCACACATCACTGCCCTTGCTAATTAATTGGCTTTTAGTCGCGGATGTGTTTGGTGCATTGTCAAGCTACCCATAGTTTTTTCCCAAATTTTTTTGGCAAGTGTCATTTAACCATTAATTTGTAGAGTGTTGCGTGTGAATGCACAAGCCCAGGTACTGGGCAGCTATTTTGGATACTATTCTCTTTCCCTTTACAGTAAAAAATAGCCCTCCTGTCCTGTTAATATAATTCAACACTACTTTCTTGTTTCATTATTTATTTTCTCGTTTATATGTTGCCTTGTTCTGTTAGAAGATGAGGTGCTGATAGATAACATCTGAGTAGACATTTTTTCTGTGTACAGGGAAATGAACCAAAGAGCAATCTCTGCAAAGGTTACACTGGTGAAGATGAGTTAAGGGGATGATGATGGTAGTGGAGGAGGAGGAGTAGAAAATGTTTCATGTTCCTTATGATGTGCCTCTGTATTGCTGTGCTGGAGTGAAAATGGTGCCTCTGCAAATTGAGCGAGACTACTTTAACTTGGAGGCAAATGGTTATGCTTTGTGTTACAAGAATCCAAGAAAATTGAAAAAATATTCAAAATGCTAACAATTTTATTGAAAAGCACATAATAAGGCCATTGCAGTGTGGATATAACAGCGGAACTCTGGAGGCCATAGAGTTTAATATCTGGACTGATGTGTTCCCACTGCTCTCTGCCATAACATGTCTGTAAACTGAATGGCTTTCTCTCAGTTTGCAAACTGTGCATGTATATATTTTCTCTTGTGCGTAAGGATAAACATTGTAGTAGTTTTGATTGTGCACAGTAACACTGCATACAAGGTGTCTTGCAAGTGTTTTTTCAGCTTTCAGTTTTTTCTTGCTGTAATTTATGCCTTATGAAATATTGAAAGAAATCCACAGCTGCTGCTGGCTTCTGTAGTGTGTGTTTGGCTTCGTAACATGTTTTTCTTGTAAATAAAGTCCGTAATGATAGCTTTAAAAACAGTTTAGAGACTTGCTGGCACAACCTAAAAGAGTTTAAGAAAAAAGAAAAAGTCTTCACAAGAAGCTTTCCTTTGTTGCCAACTTGTTTAAGAAGCAGAGAGCATACTAAGCAGCAGGGGCTTGAAATATACTTCACATATCAAAACATTTGGTGGATCAAAAACTCATGCCAAAGCGGGTCTGCCATGGATACATGTAATTTCTCACTCTTACTCCGACTTTCTGACTCCTCTCTTCTCCTCTGACCCTGGCCTGTCTCGCCAGCCTCCTCCTCCTTTCCCTTATCAAATACCAGAACAAGAAAGCAGCACGAGTGTCTGAGTCATGTCTAACCTTTACACGTCTCTCTCCCTCTGTGTGTCCCTTTATCTGCCCAGTATCCTGAACCAAGAGACGGTGGCTTGGGCAAAACCCGGGGCCTGCCAGAGGATCACTCTGCCTGTCTGTGTGCCAACGTCTGGGCTCTGCTTCCCAGCCTGGTTTTGGCTCTGGTCCTGGCCCAGCATGCCTTATAGAAGTGCCAGGAGGAGAAAAAAGAGGTCATCCACCCACAAGCTGATCCCAAAAGCAGAAGGTGTTATTTCTGAGACTGATATTAAGAAGGCTGAATCTCTGGGCAGTTGACATAAATGGCATTTATGAAAGAGGAAAAAAACAAAAAGAGGAAAAAGGTGGAAAATACTGAAATTTTGCAGTTGTGATTTTGTTGTTTATTTAATGTATTGTTTTGGGCGGACCGCAACTGTGATGAAGCACATGGCTCCTAAAACAGACCCTTGGTAGGAGAGGCCATGAAGGCCATTCTCTAGGAACAACTCTCCCTCTGACTGAGACACCTGGAGAACTGAAGCTGATTATGTCAAGGCTCCTGAACTTTTTTCACCAAAGGAGAGAGAGAGGGAATGAACAACATAATTAAAAGAAGACAGGGTTGACAGAAAAGAAATTGATGCAGAGAAAATGAATGAGCAAGAGGTAAATGGGGTAGAGTGAAAGCGAAAAGAGAAAGCAAGAGAAAGAGACATATTTCTGCTATATCAGTCACACTTTTTTTTGTCTTGAATTGGTTCTTGACTTAAGCTTCTCTTGGATGAACAGACCACAAATTTAGGGGCGGGGAAGGGGAATGATTACATTCTGTCTCTTCAACACAAGTGTAAACTCTAAACTGTAAAGGCTACTCAGTGTTCTAAGTGTTGGTATAGTATCCGTGACCATAATCAATCTACCGTACAGCTCTTTCATTTGGGTGCTACAGTAAACTTTTTCAGCAGGCGGTGAAAAGAACTAAAGTCTGCGACATTACCAGTTAATGGTTCTTTGGTCATTTGAGATGTTGTTGTTGATGGGTGTGCGCCATACGTCCACCTGCACATGTGTATATTTCTGTCTCTATGTATATAAGCAACACTTTTATTTCATTCAACTGAATTATATCTACAGTACCTTGAATGGACATTACTGTATGCTAAGATGGCTCTGTATTGAGTATTGGTACAAATGGAAGGCCTTCATTATCTGCGTTTATATTTGTCTATAAAGGTTTGATCACAAAGAATGTATACAGAGATGAGATGAGATGAGATTAAATGAGCTCAAACTGCTTGGAAAGCCATAACCGGTGTGTGGGTGTATTATACTGTGTTCATTGAGTGTGTGTGGACAATTATTGCAATGTGTGTGCGTCTATGTTTACATGGAGGAGAAAAGTAGCTCATAAGGAGCAGTTGAAATTGCCAATGTGGGGGTTCATTCTGCCCCCTCAGAGAGCAGAGGTTATGATGCATAGTGTAATTAACAGCAGTTTTTTCTAAGAGTAAGGACAGCCACCAGCTTTTGAAAGTGCTTGTGACCCAGCCCTTTAACTATATTGTTCCTCTTTTCATATAATATTTTAAAGATCCCTTATTGTAGGAATTCAAAAATGTCTTAAAAAGCATAAAGACTGGAAACAGGGAAAACAGCTAGCATGGCTCTTTGTAAATGTAACAAAATCTCCAGGATCAGAATCTCCAGGACCAGGATCTCTAAAACTCAGTAATTAACAAGGAATATTTTGTTTGTTTAGTCTTAAAATACATTGTGATTGTGAATATATTTATTTACCAGACATAGCTAAAATCTAATTCTCATCTGCAGTCCCTGCAGTTGAGATTGTCTTACTTTCAACACTCAAAGGCCTCATATGTGCATAGTTATTTGCTGTAATCATTCACCCTGTGATGTGATCACTTCCTAGTGTGATTCTACTGTAAGAAATGGGAAAATGCTAAAAAGAGATCTCATCATGGCCAGCGTGGATAGTGATCAACAACCTTTTCAATGTCGATATGGGTGTCATATTAAAAATCTTAAAGGTTCAGTGTATAATATTTAGGATTATCTATTGACAGAAATGCAACATAATATACATAACTATGTTTTCAATGGTGTATAAAAAACCTACATAATTAACCATTACGTTTCTATTATCTTAGAATGAGCCATTTCTATCTACATAAACCACAGGTCCTCTTACATGGATGTTGCCATGTTGCGTTGCCATGTTTCTACAGTAGCCCAAATGGGCAAACCGCTCTACAGAGTGCGGTTCGTCACTACGCTGAATACGTACAAAGAAGTAGAACAAGTAATGTTAGTTAAAGTAATAAAGTAGTAGCAGGAGTAGTAGTCTACTGGTTTATTAGAAGTAAGAAATTTGGCTAAATGGAAGACCACAGCTATTATTTAGCCGACTAAGCATGTCGGCCACCATAGCTTCTCTTGTGTGCATGGAAAGGGAGTGGGGAGCAGTGCATTCATGTGGTGTCGGAATAACCAGAATCTCTTAGTCCTCCTTAAATCTGTATTGCAAAAAAGTGTTCATGAGACATAAAGGAGTATACAGATTCATGCAAAATCACATATTGCATATATATATTTTGTAAACATGTAATTTGTAAAATGGTTAACGGTTAGTTTGCTATGCATGTAAAGTGAACTAGTCATCTGCATGTTTTTTATACACTCTGTTAATGCTAATCCAACACATCTTTGTAGTAGCATCTTGAATAGCAGCTTGCAATTCGCAACTAGATGCCACTAAAACATACACACTGAACCTTTAACATATACTTTAAAAAACCTATCCCTCCATTTGACTGGAAATCATTTCACATTGGTAAATTTGTAGCATTTCAACTGGAAAGTCTCAAGTGGGCAGATTTCATTATTTTGAACTAGAGGAGCTGAGATCTTCAGCCAACCATCAGTGAGGACTTCAAAGTCATTCAATATGACTGCTGAAACACAGTTATTTTTAAAATATAATGAAGAGAATTATATTTGTTCTGGACTATAGTATATTTCCAAACAAGAACAAGCAGACCAAATAATATTGGAACTTTATTTTAGAATATATCACTATATTCATACACTAAAAATATAAATTTTACCCATGATGTATTGCTTTTCTTTTTAAAACATACGCCCTCTGACATGTATTCAAACTTTCACTGGCATGTTTGCAAATGAACGATGTGTTTTTCTGTGTTTCTGCATACATAAATTTTTCCTTGCAGTGAATGAATGTTGACTGTTACTGACGCACAATCAGTGCTTCCACCAAAATGTTTATGCCTTCAGGCGGCACATCAAGTATAGTGTTATGCCACATAAATGCATGCTACTGAACCTAACATCTTTATGTTACCGGGCGATTTAGAAAAAGGTTTACAATCTGTCACTGGAACAGATGTAAAACTAAACTCTGCTCAATATGTTATTGTTAACTGTGGTTGCACCATAGACAGTGCGGTCAGGCCTGGCATAAATTACAATGATTTCCTAAACTGGTGGTTATACTGCTCTGGTCTGTTGAGAATATAAAATGTCAAACACTTGAACATAATATGTATAATTTCACATTGTGAGCTCCACGTTCAATACATTTGACAGTGACACCGTGTTTGATGTTTTGGCTCGGTCTTGTTATCATTTTGAATGTCAAAAGATATGGTGACTCTTTGAGGTAAAAAATACAGACATTTTAGAGATTTTTTGCCAGTCGTATAACAAATAATCACACATTTGTAACATCAGCCATCATTTCAAACAATGAAAGTATTTCAAAAGATTAAATAATACAGAAGACATTAGTACTTGGTGCTTATGATGGTGCAGTGGATAAGACACATGCCTCTAGTGTGAGAGACCTGGGTTCAATTCCCCCACTGTGACACATCCACCAATGTGTCCCTGAGCAAGACACTCAGCCTCTAGTTTCTCCTGAGGCGTGTGACCTCTGACATATATACCAATTGTAAGTTGCTTTGGATAAAAGCATCAACTAAATGAATAAAAGTAAATACTGTCAGAAGTATGTCCTCAAGCATCTCTGTTTTGTCAGACATTGTTCCTGGCAATACTGCGGTACTTTTGAATTATGATGTACCTGTGTAAAACTTTACAAAACAGATCAATTTAAACAAATCTATCCATCTATCTAACACATACATCTACATCAACAGTAAAACTCTGGTTCAGTGTTTGGGAATAAGAAAACATGTTATGTCAACATTAAACAATTTCCGAGAGAGAAATCCATCAAAGATGAAGCAGAGCTGCAAATTCTCTGGCAAGAACAGCCCCAGTAGTCCATAATGCAATACAGCCGTGATATAGTGCAGACCCCACCACAGACACAACCCAGTGCTCAAGATTTGTCCTCCAACACAGACACTGGTCCTTTTTATAGCATGAAAACCTCATTATTTGTATATGCCTACATTTTCATATCAAATTACAAATACAATATATTTATGCTTACTGACAAAATGTGTATGTTCAGTTTGACACTTGGGCCCTTCTTTACCTGCAGTCACTTACACCTCCATATATTTTACATTGTGCCTGAAATATTGAGTGCTCAGAAGTCTACAGCAGGATGATTATTGGGAGAAGGTAACATGCAAACAGACTGCAGCCTTTGTTCCTGGATGATAACAAGAATCTGGTGGTGTTTCTGGATTGTTTACTGTGAGAGGTCACTGACTGACACTTTATGTTCAACCCTTTTGACAACATGAAATGTTTTTGGTTTTTTGGGCTTTCACTCTATGTGTGGAACCAGAACATGCCTCCGCAGCATGTCATTAATGTAAATCATAGTGTTTACCTGTTAGCAGTATATTCTTTCACATAAATGCAACATGAAAGTGAACTTCTGCCCTGCTGTGTATAGTGTACAATCTGCTCAATCAGAACATTTACAGCTAAAAGCTCTCTGGGCGCCCTGTTTACGCAGCTGTCACCAGAACAATGCTGTCTATACCTCCCTGCCTATTAATCAAACTTTGATTTGGTCAGTGTGTTGCTTACTTTTCAGAAAAAGTGATGACGCACTGTGAGTGATTATATAGTCAGCTTCCCATAAAGGCGATCAAAACTGGCAGATAAATTACGGGTTTTGACATGTAGAAAATGCAAATAAACTGATCAAAATTCACCCCATCCCCCTCTTCATTTTATTGTCCCTGGAATGGGTCTGAGTTAGGGGTGAAAAAGACAGCAGATCAGCAGTTCTTACACAGCTTAAGAGAATGTATATGCAGGAGACCTACACAACACACAGCACAATTTAGAAATGTATCAGGGATTTTAGGACAGACCTGTGCAAGAGTGCAGCTATGGGACAGCTTGAAAAGAGACAGAATAAAGTGCTTTTATAGGGAAAAAAGTGAACAGTGGCAGCCAAAATAACATGGTTATCTGTCTGCATGATCATAATTTAAGCTACTGAGACAGAAATGCGTAGGACATGTGTCTATGTGTGCAGAACAAAGTGCTCAACTGTGCAACTTTCAAGCGCAAACCAGCTGCAGAGTAGTGGGCGCTCTTTTTGTCACCGTGTCCTTGCATTCCTGTGTTTAAACACTGAGTGTGTGTGTTCATGCTTGTCTCTGTATGTGAATGCATGTGTACACAAGGCTGTCTGCATGTGGATATGATTGGGAAGGAGTAAAAAATCTTGAAACAGAAATTTGCAAGGAGAGCAGTTTGCTTTTCTTTTTTTCTAAAGGAATCCTTGTGGAGTCCAGTTTGTTTCTTCTCTTTACAGACGGGCAGAAAAGGAGAAGCGGAGGAAGCAGGTAGCGGAGGTTTTTTGGGGCCACGGGAATAAGAAAGCGGCAGGTAGCTGTACATTTCACAGTTGATTAATGAGTCAGTGGGATGATGTCTCTTATCAACACTCTGCACATGGCAGAGAGAGAAGAAAGGTTTACTGGGGCTAGGAATGCTCCAATCACAAACAGCTCCCATTGCTGTCCCATCATTCCTTTCTGTGCTCACCCACCTGTTTTTGTGGGGGTCTCTTCTTCTTCTCTTCTCCACAGCAGTTTGTAGCTGATGCAATTGGACCCTTTACCCTGTGTTAGGTAAGGTGCCAAAGAGTTTTGTCTGAGAAATATGTGATACATTTGCTACTGTGGAGTTCACGGTCTTTGTTTGGAGATTACCACAGGAACTGATGTAAACGCTTGTAATGAGTTGTTAATGTGGCTTATGTCATCATACAAGAGAAAAGTATAGTAGGCAGCCTGTTGACACCCGAAAGAGATCCACCAGTAAAATGTTTGGTAATAGTTACAGATGTGCTTGAAAATATATCACTTTCATGCCTGACAGAACTGGATGTTTGATATAAAATCCTGTTTATCAAGTTTGATACACAGCCTAGATGTGTTGATTCTTGATAAATATGTATGGCATGAACTAATGGCTCTCAAAACCACTGCGATCTGAGCTGAGAATGAGAATTCTTACAATGCCTGGGCAGAAAAATCCCAGCCACAGCATGTTTCCTTAACACTGTAATAAACTGTGAAAATAAATTGCAGGGGGAAAAAATGGGAAAAGAAAGAGCAGCAGACAAATATATTCAAAGTAATGGAGTGCTCATATTGTATAGTATATATCCTTGTGAGATTAAATATTTCTTTAATGCCAGCAAAAAACGTTTGGATGTTTTTGTCACAAGCAGTAAGCCAAATTATTGTCTTTGTGGTTTCATTTGTTCCCCTAAAGGTGTTACTATTTTGCTGTAATGTGAGAAATCCTTCCTGGTTGATAGATTTACAATACGATTTTAATGGCAATTGCAGGGAACTAAAGTGATTAGAGAGAGAGAGAGAGATGCAACACCAGTGAGTCTAGCTTTTCCTCCTGAATTGCAAGGCTCACCTTCTTGTTGTCGAGAAGGCTTTTTGTCTTTCTTAGATAAATCAAAGAGGACAGAGAAGGGAAACATAAGAAAGATGGATGTGAAAGCAGATCTGTGTTTAAACCCAGCGCATCACAGGAACATGGTATTGGTCATGACACCACTTTCTTTTCTCTGATGCTCTGGGATGCTCTTGTTAGATTCACTTTGCTGTTCTAGCTGATACTACAGGTGTATTTAAATGACTAATTCTTGCTTATTAGAACATCTGTGACGCATTTTGGAATTCCAGCATGTGCTTCCATTAAATGTGTTTTTCAAACACACAATAAATAAAACAAATGTTGGCCAAAGCATTAAACATGTGGTGGGGGTTCCAGATGGCAGTGAGAGGTAATCAGGTAAAATGTGAAGTGGTGGCTTTTCACAAATATGTATGCCTCTCCAGTGGATTCTCTGCATGACAAGACAAATTTAATCAATATAAATGACACATTTGTGGTGTGACCTTTTTTTTTAACATTATATAATAATAAGCCTGAAAAACCATATATATGTGAAATAGTTCAATCTAATCTAACCCTGTCCTTGTCATTCCTGAGAAACATTTTAATCAAAGTAATAAATACTGTCTAGATGAAGGTCATTCATGATATAATGACAATAGAAGGATAGTGAAAAGTACCTGGACTATGAATTCCTCAAAACATTTTTGTTGACTGTTTTGAAAAAGTTTGAATCCTTCAGATATTTTAGTCTAAAAAAGCAAATGTTATACGCATCTGAAAAAGTTAAATGGTTTGAGTTCTTCAGAATTTTATGTTACTTCATCTGACCATTCATACCAACACTTTCAAGATGGATGACATTTGCCAGACACTTTGTACACATGATCTTAAGTACACTCTTTTTGTTAGTGATCTTCAGCAAAATGCTATTGTTATTTGCTATTGGAAAAAAGTCAGTAAGGGCTATAGCTCCTGTTACGTTGACACAGAAAATGAGAAGAACACATGCACATTCATTTTTTTTATAAAAAGAACAAAAAAGGATATCTTTTTCCATTAAATGATATTGTCCTTTTTGAATCGTTAAACTGTCTCTGTAATCGTTAAACTGTCTCTGTATTGTTAATAAATGGTGTTACTTATAACATGCTGTTTGAAAATTGTTTCAGTGAAGAGCAGAGAAACACAGAGACAGAGAGAGAGACAGTAATTGGAAATCAAAACAAAGGCCATATATCTTTTTAAGCAAACATCTTTGTTGTCTGGCGAGGGGAGTGGACAGCAGTATTGAACCAGACCACTTGAGATGTAATTCCTTGCTCCATTGAAGAAAGACTGGACATTTCTATTGTCAAGGCAAAAAAGTGAAGGTGAAATAAAGAGGGGGACAGAGAGGACGAAAAAGAGACATCAGCAAGAACAAAGAGACAGGGAGAGAATGCAGGAAGGAGGGAGAAGAGGACTCATGCTAGTGGAACTGTGAAACAATGCGATATAGATTCTGCCATGGCTGTACGACTTTGACTGCGTCATGCTCACCCTTCTGCCTCTCACTTGAGGGGTGGTTATTGATGGAGCCGTCATATCCAAGCTGAACATCTGTAATGAAATTCTACTCCTCTTATTGGATTTGGCGATGGGATCTCTGTCTCACTCACAGCTGTAGTCTGGCCTTTATTGTACAGCCACAGCCCATTGAAGGTACATATACACAACCACACACACACACACAATACA